TTTTCAAAAAAAAAAAGATTTGCTGGCATTTTAACGTGCCACTTGGCATTTAACTGACGGAAGGACCATTTTAGTACCAAAAGTGAAAGTTCAAGGATAATTTTGGTACTTTTTAAAGGTGAAGGACAATTTTGGTACCAAAGTGTAAAGTTGAGGGACTAAAATGGTACTTAAACCTAAAATTATCTACTTTGTAATCATGTATGCAGAGAGTATCAAGATGGAAGATGATTAATATATTGCAGAATGCAAAATCAAATATATGCATGGTTTGTCTCCATTGGAAAAATGAGTCCTTTTTGTATCGTTTGTTTGAGCTTTTGAAATGTTTTCTGATATATCTTTTATTTCCTGATCTAATATAGGAACAATGCAGAGCTCCTGGAAGTGAAGCATTACCTAAAGGAATTGTTGCAGAAACATCTAACTTGGAGATGCGACCTTTATGGAGTTACTCTATGGAAAATGTATTGTTTGATATATTACCAAACGATACTGAATTTAATAGTTTCATGTGCTTGTTTTAAGCTGAGCTCAAAACAAAGAAATAAAACACTTACTGGTGTGTCTTCAATTGCAATTTCAGGTCGATTCAAAGAAATCTAAGAGCTGTTGGATTTAAGCAAAAAGACATTGTGGATGAAATTGTTAAAAAGGCATGCTTGCTTCATCAATGCCTTTTCTTTTCAATGTGTCATATGCTAATTATGCTTAATATCCACTTTCATGTGGCAGCTTCCTTCTAGTGATTTTGTTGTGACGCTTTTTCATGACGATGGTGCTGTGGATGAATGGAGTGATTTGGACTGGAGCAACAAAGCCATACATGTGTCTGCAGTAAATAAAAAAAAAAAAAGGTCTGTAGTGCCTTTTTTTTCTTTTTCGAATGGTACGCCACATGTTAGTGTATCGCAATATGACTAAACATTGTCATATGATGTCATAGGTGGTTTGCTGAACGTTTCTTCCATTCAGACATTGTTGCTGAATACAAACAGATATTCCTTTGGGATGAGGACCTTGGAGCAGAGCATTTTAATCTAAAACGTTAAGGCATAACCATGTTCTGCACTGAGGGCTGTCAATGGGATTTGATGTTCCCTAAAGTTAAAGTTTGGGAGAAGATTGATAGAGTCTCCTTGTGGTTCATTTTCACTGTTACTTTTCCTTCTGGACAAACTACGGATTCCAATCTTGAACGCGAAACATATCATATCTCTTGCAGATACTTGAACTATTGTTGAAGATGAAGGACTTGAGATATCACAACCAGCGCTAGATCCTAGGCCGTCCCCTGCTACTGGATTAGAAGGGATTACATTAATAGAATCCAGAAAACATCACTATATTGCTCATTTGATATTAACACCAAGCTAGCAAAATTGATAAAATGCAAAATCAATAAACTTTGAAATTTATGATAATCAAAATGAAGTCAGCATAAGTTAGGCATAAAATCTTCTAGAATGTGGAGAATGAAGTGCGTGTGGCCATTGGGAGGAAAGCAACAATATATACGCAGCTATTAAAGCCAATCTTGCAAATACTCGTGACATCAAAATTTACTTAAAAGTATGTCCTCAATATTTAGTAGTTGGTAGAGATCACATAACAAATAATTATAAATTTTAAACTGAGTTTCATAAAACAAACCATAAGCGAAATTCAGAGGCTTAAATTCAGCACTACCTTCATTACTTCATCTGATATCTGAGCAACCAAGACCATGGACATTCTGGTTCTTCAGGTACTGTATAAAAGTGTTCCTATCCGGCGTTTCCTGGACTCATAGCGGCTCAACTGCAGCCTCGCAAGGTGGTTAAGGAAGGAGAAGGAGGCTTTGTGAGAGTCTCTTGGCATATCATCATTAACTGACATGATTGGGAAGGAAATTCTTGGTATTTCTCGCAAGATGACGAGAGGGCAGGGGAGAAGGAGAATGGAAAAAAGGCCTAAAATGTGTTCATCTCACGTTGTATCCTATCCAAATGCGCTCAAATCAATCCGGTATAACCTTCCATAGTAGAAAGAAATTTACTTAGGGTCCATTTATTAAAAGTCTTACATATCATACTTACAAAAAATTTTAATTATTTATTTTTTTTATTTTTAATAGTTAACATTTATTTTTTTATCATTTTTTTATTAAAGATAATTATTTTTTATTTAAAAAATATGCTAAATTTCAGCTATTAAAAGTTGAGAGATTAAAGGTTGCAATTTTGTATAAGTGTAGCATGTAAAACTTGTATATAAATAGATTCTTTCTCAAAAAGAATTTGATCAAGTTGGTACCCACTAACTTAAAGATTTTGATTTGCGGTTAAGGTAAGAAATTCAAACCTCTATATTACCAAGACTTTGATTTAGGGTTAAGATTAGAGGTTCAAACCTTTATGTTGCTAAGCAGCTAATCCTCTAATGTACAAAAAAAAAAAAAAATGGAGTTGTTTACACCTAAAATAAAAAATCAATGAGTGGATGCCACATGTCTAATTGGGCTCGCCATTAGTTTTAAGTATGCCATGTTAGCAAGTCTTGATGCTGATCTAGACCAGTTTTGTAGCAATTCGTAGTTGTTGGGGTAGGGGGTTGATGAGTCAGTAGCAATGATGACGTGAAAGCTGACTAAGATAGCCTTCTGCAAGAGATGAGGAGGGTCCTTTTAACTTGCATCCATTTCATGTGCAAGAGACTACGTACCACGAGCAATCTCCCTTTATTTAGTGAAGATGGTCTACTTCGAGTTCTCTAGTACAGTCTAAAAGTATAACTTCCCCAGCCAAGTTAGGAGAGTTGGGCAACGATGACAGAATTTCAAGAGCTAAGAATGATTACATAACTACCAAAATAATGAAAAGGAGATGTACATTATCGTAGGAGTAGCATGGATAGAAAATACAAAAGAGTGACTTTTACAACTTGAGAAGCACATTTATACGAAATGTGTTGTAGAATAATAATAAACACAATAAATGTGCCCTTTACTATCCTTGACAAATACTCCCACTCTAAAATGAGCAACCTTCATGTTGTGGCTAAAAACATAATAATCTTCTTTAAGCTTCCACAAAACAAAAAGGAATAAACTTTCAAGTAGTGATGGAAGAAGGAAGGATGATTGGTGTGGGGGCTTTTGAATGGAGGACTTGATTCTATGTCTTAATGCCAACTCTACTAGTTGACCCTTTGATCCTCAAGAAAGACAACCTAGAATCTTAAATTGCAGCATAAAATCCCCCAACCATGACGTGCTACAAGTCTGGAGTGTATTTTGGTTGGAAACGTAGAAAATATGAGAAAAATAGAGATTTTTGGGAGATTTTTGTAGGAGAATTAGGAGGTTGAAGATGAATAATTCTTCGAAGGAAAATTGTGTCTTCTACGTGAATAACCTACTAAATCTTTGTAGCATGAAAAGATAATCACAAAAATGAAGAAAAAAAATCATATATATATATGTAGTGGCATTTTGGCAATTTTGAGTTGATGAGACTAGAGTAACCCAATGAATCAACGGTTAGATTTGGGGTGGTGTGAGGAAAAGTGTCAAGTTTTGGGTGAATCTTATCTATGCTAATAGCTTTTGGAGTGCAATAATAGATTATCCAATGTCTTCAGTGGAGGACTGCTAGTTTGTTGGAAACTTCCCATTCTTGGGAACCCTTTATCTATACAAAACACCATGTTTGGTGTACAATTGAGTATTGCCAGCAAAACCACCTTTCTCCAAGCAAAATATAATTTTTTTCGCCAGTTTCCCATGTGATGAAACTTGTGCAATCGTCCATGCATTAAACATAACTACAAATTGGTGATGGGGACTCAAGTGGCATCTTTTGGTTGTTTTTTAATGGGGTATCAGACCTTCTAGTTAGCATTAAACAGTTGAGTTTTCATATCAAGTTTTGCTTCAATGTGTTAATCACTCACCTTCGCTAGCCCAACCTTTCTTGGCGAAGGTGAGCGACTTCACTAGCTCCAAGCTTGGCTGGCACAAATGCCTTACTTTGTCAGGCATGCAACCTTCATTCATCTATGCGTATCAAGCCACTACTCCCATAGTTTATCACAAACTGTTTCCATGAGCTTGGATTCATGGGTTTGTGTTTATCTACATCAAAGAGCAAAATATGAGTGAGAATTTGTTCAAATATATAAGTATGAAATGCATAAGCGCATGTGCAATAAAGAAAAATACTCCTTTATGTATCAAAAGGGATGGTAAGAATAACCATCGCTCTGCCTCTTTGTCCACTGGCCATAGGAGGCACTTATATAATATTGCTGTATAAGTCTGGCGATGTGCCAAGATAAAGAATGAATGATATGGCTTGTATATTTAGATTACCAGTGACCGGTAATTTTGTCACTTTGTATAGAAAGAATAATAAAGTGCATGACTGCCGACCATGTTAAATATTGTTAGGTCAGTTAAGAATAGCTTTCTTATAGCCAAAAGGACAATAATGGCTAACTATGCCTATGGCTGGAGCATGAACTATGTGGAATTGGAAGAGCATTCCCAACAATTCTCCAAGCCACGAAAGGGATAAATCTCATCAATCCAAAACAATAACATAGTGATGAAAATATGATAACAATGGGTGGAGTGTTGTCCATGGAAGGATGATCACCAACTACATCCATCATCTTTGATATGGATAAGGTGTGATACCACTATAAAACGATAGCCCTTTTTACTGTACCTGCGCCATCAGAGGATAGTTTTGGTTGTTCTTACTCGTTAGGCACTATACCACCATGCACGGGCAACTACCAAGAAGCTGTCGGCCACAACTTGATGGATTTTTATGGTTAGAGGGTAGCCATCTCAATCAATTGTCGGGTCGCACCTGTCACCGGCCTCACGCTAAATGTACCAACTTGCACTAACCCTTTGTCCATTTCTGAGAGTCAGTAAAATAAAATATGTAAACAAGGACCCTTTAGTTGTTTCTTGGAGTTGGTGTAATGAAGATGTGTAGAAATGTGTAGCCTTTTGCCCATTTTTAGAGGCTAAGTAAAATAACAAGTCTGACCCTTTGTCCATCGCTGAGAGCTATATAGATGTAATAGAATTAGCCTATTGTCCAATGATGGGAACCAGTGATAGAGATATGTAGAATAAATGTTTGGCCATTTGTCCATCATTAAGAGCTATGTAGATGTGATAAAATCAACTTGTTGTCCTTTGATGGTAGCCATGTATATATAGCAAAACAAACTCTTTATTTATTGCTGGGAGCCAATTGTAGCAACAAACATGGTAGTAGAGATCATGATCATCAAAAAACATTCAACCATGTCATGGATATAAATGTAGCCATGTCTAGCCATGTATATGAGAATGGTATTGAAGTAGATCATGTCTACAGTATTTCCAACGAAGTATATGAACGTCACTTCTGGTAATGCTGACTTTGTTGCATTCATTAGTAAAAAATAAAATATAACAAATCTAATGTGAAAATAGATCATGTGGCCCACTCTTAGTCACAAGTTCAAAACCGGTCTTGCTAATGTGTAGTTGCACATATTGTAAACTCCCAAGGCAATACAAATTCATCCCTTAACAATAATCTAAACTGTAGTTGATATGGGAGGCAAGAGAAGTTTAGATTGGGACAAACCTTTTTAAGCAAAAATCCAAAGAAGGTTTGTCATGTGTGAAGTTGGGGTTTGTGATTGATCTAAATAGACGCCACATCATCGAGTTGTAGCTAATTAGGAGGGGAAATGCTATTGGGACAACTATTTTGTCCCTTTTTATACAACCTGACGTGTTATTAAAATGATTGGTTCTTTTAATTCATGCGGGACCCGTGATATTAAATGCATCGACTCATTTAATGACATGTGGAAGTTGGACAAAAAGGTTGTCCCAATAGCACCACCCAATTAGAAGCCTATTCTATTGCAATATGCAATCAAAATTGGAGGTGGGGTCCCATGTGGCAAGATGCTGCATATCTCTTTCTTTATCAAATTTTATTTGAATTAGGTGATGATTAGGAGAGATTTTAGGAAGGGATCAAATTAAGGTTAAGTAGAGTTAGTTAAAAGGTCAAATACAACTAGCAAACTTGGAGCAAAAAATAAGAAATTGTTGCTGCTAGCACATGGAAATAGCCAAACATGCAAAGAAAGTGGAGAGAAGTGGATTGAAAATCATGGGAAATTGCTCCAACATCGAGGTAAAAGAGAACAATGGAGGAAAATTCAATTCTTCAGGCTTGCCCTTCTTGAAAAACAGCCACACTATAATTTCAATTGTAAATTAGATCACATAGAGTTCCATATTAAAGTTTAAAGACTTGCTCTTGTTCTTAGATTTACTTT